GTTCGCTTGAATCCTTTTGAACATTTCGGCTATGTGATGTATCCCTTAAAAAAACGGGATAGAAGCCGTTCTTATATTTTGTTTTCGCATGAATGTTTGCCAGATGGGTGCTTTTTTCTCTCTCTCATGCAAATCTCTTTTTTTTAATTACTTTTATGCAGTTAATTGCATTTGAGGCGCAGTTTGATTGCCTGTGTTATTGTGGAGCTGTTTCGTTTTTGACAATAAACATCTGTTCGTTTGCACGATTTCTTACTGAAATATTGGAATTTGTGGAGTCATAAAGTATATTTTTGTTACGCGTTAACCTCTGAGGAAAGACCGATGTAGCTGTAGGAGGAGTAACATCCACTAAAATGGAATATCCACACCAGTTATCCGAGTGCTCTTGGTATTCGCTGTATGCGAGAAATGTTTGCTTACGATTTGGACAGTGTAAATTACACTTTTCAGCTCATTTCTTCACCATTCTGAAACTGCTATTAATCTAGTTGCCACTAGTCCTTCGCAAATTTTTTTCAAAAAAACAGGAAGTTACCATTTGTCTTACCTTTGCTAAATTTCGCCTCCAACCTAGACATCAAAAGCATCACTTTTTATACCGAATGCGCCAGGTACTTCACGGTTTTTTAGCAAATTTACACATACATCACTATATGTGCATAGGGGATGTTTCAGGATTGCTCGTTATGTAGGCTGAGCCCGCCGCTTGGTGATAAGCTTTCAGGAATTTAATAGATTGTTGTATCATTTATAGTACGGTGCATCACTTATAGACTCTTTGAAATCGCTGCAGTTATTTTTATCTCGCCTTGTTTCGGCTCTTACTCCGCATAAAAAAAACTGAAGAGGCTATATGCTGTTGTGAATCTCGGAAAATCTTTGCTCAAGAAACAGGAGAAGTGGTTTAGAGTTCCATGGAATTTCCGGATATTGGAAAAGTCACCGTTTCCTCATATTGACTGATGGCAGATTTGTTCGCTGGGTATTTTTGAAGTACTTTTCTTTCATCCCTCAAATGGCGTTTTTTATCAGCTCATAGCAGATACGTCTGGCTAATTTTGTGCACCTACTTTCAAGTTTTCGCAACAAAAAAGGGTTTTTTTGCAAGAAATGATCGGGCTTCTCTTTTGTCTAGCTTGTGCTCTTTTTAGGTTGCCTGTTTTTATGCAATTGCCTGGATTCATTCGCAGTGTGATGTAAAGCTTTGTGACAATTTGTCGAAAAGCATCAATCGGATGGAGCGAAGTTTGAGGACGGAGCAGACCTGGTGATGATTTTTGATGTTTCAGAACTCCTTATGCTGCACACTTTCCCATCCACTCTCATTGCTTGTCCGTTTGATGTGCACTTCTCAGCAACAGCAGTAATTCATTAAAGCAGTACTGCAGCTTTTTTTTAAGATTGCACAGCGGGAGGAATTGATTAATTGCTTCATGTGGTCAGTAGGTGCCGCAAGCACAAAAATCACACTGGACTTTCTACTTATTCCTGTCCGATCAGTGCTTGAAAGCTGTTCACTCTCACTTCCAACCAGCCATTTTAAAATAACATACCCCGTAGTTCCGTCTTTTATTTTCTGAAGATTCGTTTTTTTTTTGAGTCGTGCTTCAGTTCTCCAATAAATGTAAATCTGAAGAAAGCGCTTCAGCTTCACTCATTCTTAGGGGTTTTTTTTTTCCGAATTTTGCCATAAAAATCGCACTGCATCGGCCTCGTCATTCTGTTTTTTTGCTAATTTCTCATATGTTTATTACAGACTTAAATTTGAAAAATTAGTTTACTGTATCGATATGTACTTGTCATTCAACTGGGTGCGGTAACTCTCATTTTTTCTAAATATACCTGTGGAAGGCGAACTGGCTATATTCATTTTTTATATTCCTCTATACCTAGTTATGTCTTTATTACACGAGATATCCAGATTGGTCCCTTATCTCCGATCCTAGTAGTTCAGACATAAATGTGGTAGTTTGTCGTTTTTTTTTTTTTCTTCATTGTTTTCATCAGTTAATGACTTATTAAAAAAAAAAGACATCAATTAATGACTTATGAAAAGCAGATACTGTTTTCAGTGCGCCCATTGGTACATGCCGAGCGATCCCTTATCTCTGATGTTAAACTGGAACTATGCGAAAAAGGTGCTTTCCCTGTGCTTTCATAAACCCCTAGTTTATGAGGAGGGTGCAGGAGACATCTTTTACCTCTTTAGCACCTACTAGACCTCTTTACTTCAATACTGCATGTTAGTTATATTTGTTGCTTACTTAGTTCCGTAAACTTCATGTTTGCTTTTGTTTTTCCCGCACAAAGCAGCGCTGTTTCGGCTTTTTTCTTCTGCCCTGGATCTTTTTTTTTTCCACGGCACAAGCAGAGCCCTCGTATATCCATGTGTTTATCGTAGTCCGAATTACTGAACGTGTAAAATCCTTTTATTACATGTCAGATGCTTCCTGAGTTGGTAGCCTTGTTCCTAATGATCGCTTGTTGCAGGTAAGATTTGGCTTATCGATGGATTTAGGACGGAACTAGGTCCACTGCTATCAAAAGTCGAGAATGCCGTAAAGCGTTGTGCCTGGAACACTGTGCTTTCCGAATTTTACGATAGCAATA